GGCTTGAGCCACCGCGCCTGGCCCCTATTTTTTTTTTTAAGGCATTTTTTTTAAAGAAGAGTACACTCTCGGGGAATGAGCCCTCAACCTATGGGACCTGGCACTATCTCCAATTAGATAGCGTCAGAATTGAATTGGAGGCCACCCAGCTGGCATCCACTGTAGAGCTGATTGCTTGCCTGGTGTGTGAGGGTTTCCCACACACACATTTGGTCACAGAAGTCTTCGTTGTTGATTGGTTTTGATTGAAAAAATAGAAACACTTTGAATGTGTTTTCCCCTCTCAGGGTGGGATGCAAAATGCTGGGTATTAAGCTTTCCCAAGTGAATCATCTGCCTGATCTTGGCTTCCTCCTCCACAGTGGTACCTTCCCTCCCTTGGGGCACAGAGAACAGTGCAGCCCTGTTGTACTTCCAGCTGGCCTCCATCACCAAGAGTTAAGGTTACTCACCCCTGCACGGGTCCCAGCTGGCAGTATGATCCTCTGGCACCTGGGCTTCCCTTTGCTCAGCACGTCCACATGGCTGGGCATCTGGACCTCTGCAATGCCTCCCTCAGTGTTGAAAAAGGCACTGCAGAAGTGGGAACAGCTTGATGTGGAAAAATACTGATAAGAAACCAGAAGCTCCTCGGCTAATTTTTCTCTCTTCCCTTTCTTCTTCCTCAAGTTCAGGCCATGCCTAGTGTGCACACTAACCATAGGCCTTGACGAAACCTGCCTCTGGGAAAATAAGGAGGGGTAGAAAAGTCTTTAGGTATGCAGAAAAGCCTGGATCTATAGCCAGCTAGACAGTGGGACGTTTGGCCTCAGTTATGGTGTCTCTTCTCCCATCTGAGCCCCACAAGCTCTACCTGTAGAAGTTTCCATGTGTTTCCCTTTGGGAGAAACAGTTGTTGACTGCTGCAAATAAGTCTGAAGGCCACCCTGTGAATAAAGAAATAGGATAGTTTTAATGTCCATTATAAGAACAGTCTCAAAAATTAAGGAAAGAAGCAGGAATGGGGAGGGGATGGCACGTGGTGGCTCACACCTGTAATCCTGGTACTTTGGGAGCCTGAGGCAGGAGGATTGCTTGCCCAGGAGTTCAAGATCATACACCTGTGGTCCTAGCTACTCGGGAGGCTGATGTAGGAGGATTGCTTGAGCCTAGGAGGTTGAGGCTGCAGTGAGCTATGATGGTGCCACTGCACTTCCAGCCTGGCATCAGAGCAAGACTGTCTAAAAAAAAAAGCTGGAGCAATTGCAAACTAGCCCTCTTCCTGCTGGGTAGCAAAGAAAAACATTTGCTGGAAGTTGCATTCTGTTATTAAAAGAGTAGCTGAGGCTAGGTGCGGTGGCTCACACCTGTAATCCTAGTACTTGGCTGAGACGGGAGGATCACATGAGGCCAGGAGTTCAAGACCAGCCTAGGCAACATAGTGAAACCTCATCTCTGTGTTTTAAAAGATTTCAAAAATATATTTAAAAAAAATAAAAGAGCAGTTGATATGTGCATGATTTGTGTTGTGGACAATGTTGCCTCTCAGAAAGCAGAGGAAGCCTTAACTCTGACCAACAAAGAAGAATGGCTTGGTGATGTGGAAGTAACCAAACCTTGGGGGAAAGTAATAGCATAGTCTGGAGGGAAATGCTGGTCTAAATGACATCTCCCAGCAGAAATCCTGGATAGCAGTTTTTTGGGGTTTTTTTGAGACAAGAGTTCATTCTTGTTGCCCAGACTGGAGTGCAATGGCGTGATCTCAGCCCACTGCAACCTCCACCTCCTGGGTTCAAGTGATTCTCCTGCCTCAGCCTCCCAAGTAGCTGGAATTATAGGCACCCACTACCATGCCCAGCTAATTTTTTGTATTTTTAGTAGAGATGGGGTTTTACCATGTTGGCCAGGCTGGTCTTGAACTCCTGACCTCAGGCAATCTGCCTGCCTCAGCCTCCCAAAGTGCTGGGATTACAGGTGTAAGCCACCATGCCTGGCATGTTTTTGTATTTTTAGTAGAAATGGGGTTTCACCGTGTTGGCCAGGCTGGTCTCAAACTCCTGGCCTCAAGTAACCTACCCACCTGGGCCTCCCAAAGTGCTGGGATTGATTACAGGTGTGAACCACCACACCCAGCTACTTTGAGACAGGGTCTCCCCTTGTCGCTCTGGCTGGAGTGTAATAGCACAATCACAGCTTACTGCAGCCTTGACCTCCCAGGCTTAAGTGATCCTCCCACCTCAACCTTCAAACAACATTTTAGAAGTATTTTCTCCTCTTACAGATGAGGCTAAAGGCTCAGAGGCCAAGTCACGGAATTAGGAAGCTGGGAATCAATCCCAAATCAGTGTCACTCTAAACCTCTTTCTTTGCTGTGACACTTGTTCCATTCAGAAATAGTGATGGTGAGCCCAGGTACGGTGACTCATGCCTGTAATCCCAGCACTTTCAGAGGCTGAGCCCAGCAGATCACCTGAGGTCAGGAGTTTGACACCAGCCTGGCCAACATGGCAAAACCCTGTCTCTACTA